GTCATTAGAGAAACAAGTTGTCCCTGGGGAAAGTGGCAGCGGCAACCACAGAGCGAGACCTCTTTCCTTCTAGTGCGATGAGCGAGGGAAGAAAGTCCCCCTTGCACTTGGCTCTCTGCCTCCTGAGGTGTTGCCGAATGCGCCAGCCCATGTCTGGACAGAGTTGCAGTGATGCTGAGGGAAACCAGCCACAAGACCCAGTCTGAGGATGCCGCTTGGAGGTGGCTGGCCCCAAGTCAAGCTTGCTCTGTCTGAGCACAGACGGGGACCCCGAAGGCTCCCAGGCACTGGGCTCAGGCAGGGCCCGAGGAGCACCAGCACCTGCTGCAGCTCCGGGGAGAATGGGAGGCATGGTAGGGTCTTATGTCGGCAAGCCGGAGCCGAAAGTGTTGGTAGCTTTGCCCGGCCCCGGACTGCACCGACCTCTGCAAGTGGCCCTGAGGACAGCCACACGCGGCTGCGGGCTGGTTCAGCTCCCACCTCACCTGGACAGAATCCAGGCGTTGCTCCTCTCCACCTGCCCTACTTGCCTCTAGTGGTGCCGGTGTCACCAGATCTCTCGGGCACAAGAGCCTGCACCGTGGTGTCCCTGGAGGGATCTGGAAGCCCCACCAGCTGCTTCTGAGGAGGAGGAGGACGCCCAGGGCCACCAGCTGGAAGGCGGTTCTGAGAATCTGGCCTGGAGAGATTTGGCCATAAGGAGAGATGGAAGAGGCCTGCAAGGGGTGCTGCTGCCATCAGGAGCCCTTGCGGATCCCATGGCTGAGGCAGGGCAGAGACCTTTCCCTTGTCTGGATGCAGCCCAGAGCAGAGCACTCCTGGACTGAGTGCTTCACGTTTGGCAACGCTTTCCTCCTGCCTCTGTTTCATCTCCTCCATGCAGAGAGGCTGGGAAAAACTGGGCCAAATGCTCTGCCCCCGGACGTGTGTCCCTGCACTGGAATTTGGGCCAGGAGGCCACTGAGCCTTGGCATCCCTCTTTTCATCAGTGCTGCCTATACCTGTTCCTTCTGCTTCTGTCTCATGCCTCTCCTTCTCCTCACCCCCCCCCCCCGTTTAATCAGAAAAGGCATCAGTATCAAAAGCCTCTTTTTCCTCCTCTGAGCATTTTCAAAAGCCGAGTCACCTCTGCACTCTGAAAATAAAGATGTGGGGATGGATAATTAAGAGATGGGAGGAGGCTGGGGACTCCAAGGAAAGGAAGCGGTGGAAGGAGTTGAGGTGCATGTACACCAATGCTAGGAGCATGGGTAACAAGCAGGAAGAGCTGGAAGCTCTCCTGGGAATAGGAGGGTATGACCTGGTGGGAATCACAGAAACTTGGTGGGATGAAAGGCAAGTCTGGCATGGGAACATAGAGGGGTATCACCTTTTTAGAAAGGACAGGAAGGGAAAGGGGTGGGGGCGTAACTTTATACTTCAGGGAAGGGATAGGATGCAGTGAGACAGAATGCAGCACAGATGGGGATTCGGTAGAGGCAGTCTGGGTGAAACTTAGGGGTTCTGACAGGGAAAGAGACCTGACAGTGGGGGTATGTTATCGCCCTCCAGGTCAACTTGAGACCCTGAATGATGGCCTGACAGGCCAGATTCTAAGGATATCTTGGGGGAGAGACACAGTAATTATGGGAGATTTCAATCTCCCGGATATTAGTTGGGAGACTCACTCGGTGGTGACAGCCAGGTCACGTCGCTTCCTAGAAGCTATAGAGGGAGGGTTTTCCACACAGAGGGTCCGAGAGGCGACCAGGGGGGTAAACATCCTTGACTTGGCCTTGACCAACAAGGAGGAGCTGATAGATGAGGTACAGATTAAGGGAGCTCTGGATGCGAGTGATCACTCCATCCTTTGCTTGGAGATCAGGGGACTGTGGACGGGCAGCAGGTCAAGCACTAGAAGCTGGGACTTCAAAAGGGCCAACTTTGGCCAACTGAAGGCCAGACCGGGGAAAGACTCCTGGGATAGGTTACTGGAAGGCAAGCGATTTGAGGAGGGGTGGATGGCACTCAAAAGGGAGGTTTTGGAGGTGCAAGCCTTGACGATACCTCTAGTTAGTAAGGTGGGGAGGCAGAGGAAAGCGCCGCCATGGATGCAAAAGGAGGTGGTTAGAAGGATTAAAAGAACCTTCCTAGGAAATGGGTACTGGGGCAAATAGACAAAAGGGTATGGGTGGGGTAGGCCCGTTGCAGAAGGATTATTCGCAAGGCTAGAGCTGATTACGAGCTGAGACTTTCCAAGAATATCAACAAAAAGGGCTTCTTTCAGCATGTAAATAGGAAGAGGAAGGGGAGACAAGTGGTGGGACCACTAAATAAGGAGGAAGGAGATCCAGTGACTGATATGAGGGAACAGGCACAGATGCTAAATGACTATTTTGCCTCTGTGTTCTCCCCAAAGCAGGACGGGGGAGATCCGCATAGGAGATTAGATGAGGCTGGGGACTTAGGGGCACAGATTAGTCACCCTCCCTTTGAAGTCGAGGGGCTCCTCAGGACATTGGACATTACAAAGGCGCCAGGCCCTGACGGGTTAAACCCAGGAGTACTTAGAGAGTTGGCAGAGGTTCTTTCACACCCGCTGGCCTCCATTTTGGAGGCCTTGTGGAGAACAGGTCAAGTTCCAGAGGACTGGAGGGTGGCATCAGTGGTCCCAATTTTCAAAAATGTTAGTAGAAGGGACATGGGGAATTACAGACCTGTTAGCCTTATGTCCATTGTAGGAAAAACAATGGAAAGGCTCATAATAGAGAGAGATCTAGTGATGCTAAATAGGGAAGGGAGGCTGACAGCCACACAACACGGCTTCCGCAAAAACAGGTCCTTCCTGCCAGACCAACCTTGTGGAATTCTATGGCAAGGTTTCGAGGTGGCTAGATGGAGGGGATGCAGTGGATGTGGTTTACCTGGATTTCAGCAAGGCCTTTGACAAAGTGCCTCATGATATCCTGGTGGAGAAACTGAGGAGTTTTGGGATACACCAATGCACTGTCCGATGGATTAGGGCATGGTTGACTGACTGAAAGCAGAGGGTAACCATTAGTGGGGAATCATTGGGATGGTGGCCAGTGACAAGCAGGGTCCCCCAGGGCTCTGTCCTGGGGCTGATCCTGTTTAATCTTTTCATTAACGACATGGAAGAAGGGGTGAACAGTCTGCTGATCAAATTCGCAGACTATACTAAAACTGGAGCAGTGGCCCCAACTGAGGAGCAGGTGCTCCCGATCCAAAAGGATCTGGACGGACTATGGAAGAGGGCAGGAGACAACAGGATGGCGTTCAATGTGGATAAGTGCAAGGTCTTGCACTTGGGGCACAGGAATGGATGTCACAAGTACAGGTTAGGTGACAAGTGGCTGGAGAGCAGCACTTGTGAAAGGGACCTCGGGGTGCTGGTTGACTGCAGGCTAAACATGAGCCAGCAGTGTGATGCGGTGGTCAAGAGGGCAAACGCCACCCTTGGTTGCAGAGCCAGAAGCGTGGCTTCTAGATCGGGAGAGGTATTACTACCACTCTATACGACTCTGGTGCACCTGCAACTGGAGTATTGTGCTCAGTTTTGGGCCCCTCATTACAGGAAGGATATAGCCAGGTTAGAGTCAGTGCAGCGTAGGGCCACAAGGTTGGTGGCCAGTTTGCAGAGGATGGGGTGTGAGGCAAGACTGAGGGAACTGGGTCTCTTCAGCCTGGAGAAGAGGAGACTCAGAGGGGATCTGTTGGCGACATACAGGTATGTGAGGGGGTGTCACGCGGAGGTGGGCAGAGACCTGTTCTCTCTGCAGAGGAAGGCAGGCCGCGCTCCAACAGAGCAAAGCTCAGGGAGCCAAGGTTCCATTTGGATGCCAGGAAGCACTTCCTGACAGTCAGGACCCGCGGGTGTGGAATGGGCTTCCACGGAAGGTGGCTGAGGCCCTATCGGTGCGGGTGTTCAAGGATAGGCTGGACATGCACATGGTGGGCATGTCATGAGTGGAGCTGGCTGAAGCTGGAGGTCAGACTAGATGGCCGGGAGACCCCTTCTGACTCACTCTGTTTCTGTGTTTCTATGCCTGTGAATATGCCTAATCGTGCATAAGGCTGGTCCATGCGGGTTCCCTGCCCAGATGCCAGAGATGCAAATCAGGGCACCCGCCTGCTTCTCCGCAAGCCTCGTTGTGACCTTCAGGAGGGCGAAAACAAAGGATTCACCTCGCCTTCTGGCTCACTGAAGGGCTTCCCCAGAACCCTCCTGGTCCCCCGGGGCCAGTCCAGAGCTCGAAGCCAGCAGTGCCGCTCTCCTTTCTCTGCAGGGTTGTCTCGGTTGATGCAGTGACTGTGCCTGCCGGAGAAGCCCAGTCCTGGTCTGAAGAGGTTGCAGAAGAATCGTGAACAGAGGTAAAGAGGTGGCCACCGTGCCCTGCGCCGCAGGCCTGTTGCCCTCTTCCCTGCAGACCGGGCTGGGGTGCTGGGGCAGGTCCAAAGAAGGAGACGGACCCAGAGCGGGGCATGCTCTTGTCCAAAGCAGCAAGACAAGTGGCACCCACACCTGCGGGCAGGCCAGGGGGCAGGCAGGCCTTGCCCCCAGAGAGTCCGGGCTGGGAGAGCCTTCCTCCGTCCGAAGCAGCCAGGGCTGGGTGACCAGCTGGACCCGGGAAAGCCCCAAGGAAGGAAAGGGGCAGCCATTGGCTGTGCCCACTGCTGGTTCCCAGAAAGGTCCCGCTGGAGCAGCGCTGGGCTTGCTCCAGCCGGTAGCGGGGACCAACATGGCAGCAAAGGGCTCCCTCTGAAGCAGAAAAGCAGGCAGCCCCTGCCCGCCGGCGATCCCGGGGCAGGATGGCGCCATGGTCCTTGAGAAACTGCAAGAGGCGCCACAGAGAGACAGCCGCTGGAGCCGGAGCTCGGGCCCGGGGAGGTGCGGATGGTGGTGCCGGAGGGAGGGGGCTTGCTGTGAGATCTCTCTCTCTCGCCATGCCTTGGCTGTTCTTTCCATTCTGCTCTGTTTCTCCCGCTCAGGTCTGCTGGCCATGGGCAATCTGATAAAGGTATTGGGCAAAGATTTAGAGAACTGTCCCCATTTTTTCCTGGATTTTGAAAGTAAGTCCCATACACAAAGGGGAGGGAGACTTCTGTGGTTACTGGTGGCAGGAGTTGCTGTTCTCCACAAATTTGGGGGCGCAATTACATTTAGCAGCCAATGTACTTGTGGTTCACGTACTAAATTGGGGAGGCTTCATTGGGAAGAGCCAGCCGGTGCCGGAGAGACACCAGAGGCCCTTCACGGGGTGGTGTTTATGGGGCCATCACCTTGCTCCACTCACACGCTTTGGTGCTTCTACTCTTCTTTCTTCCTGTAGATCATCTCTCACTGGGGAAAAGGCAGAATGTCTGCACAAGGGGCCAGGACTGTTAGTGCTGCCTAGGGGCCTTCCTTCTGGAAGCGCCCTGGACCGTGCAGGGCAGACCCACGCATCAAGCAAGAGCCCTTGGCCAGGGAACATCTGGGGGCAGACCCACCGGCAAAACCCAGCCAGTGCCAACAGTGCTCGTTGGCCTGCAGAAGCACTAAACAGGGTCCTTCCGTCCTTTGCTTTTTTCTGGACAGCTGTCAAAGGACGAGCCGTCAAGGGAAGGCAAAGTCGTGAAGGATCTTCACCTGTGAGCCTGAGAGACCAGTGGATTACCCAGTTCTTGGCAAGATCCTCATCTGCTCCCCCCGCCCCCCGGTTGCTGCAGCCCCCTGTAGCTATTCCATATTTTCCCGAGACTCTGGCTACCTGGGCAGGTGCAAAAGCACCTCTCACCCCATTTTCACAGGCAGGGCTGCAGCAAGGGGGAAAGGGTCAGCGGTCACAGCAGGGGCAAGCAGGCCAGTTGGTCCTGCCAGAGTTCTGCGGGGACTTTTATGGTCTCCCACCACTGTGCCCCTTTCCTTGCCCCGGGAAGTCCTTCCCATGGGGGCTGCTGTACCCAGGCCCTTCAAGAGAGCAGGGCCTGCTACCCAGCCCTATCCGGAGGCCTCTGTCCTGCTTTGCTTGGAAGGCACGCCATCGCAAATGAAATGACTAGGAAGCTAGAACAGAAATATTCAAAAGAAGACCAAGTGGCGATTCTGGCAAGAAAGGCAAGGAAGCAAACTATTATTCATTGTTTGCTATTATTGCCATTCATGGAAAGTTAAATTGCACTTTCCCGATGAAATCAGTGGCCGCCTTGCACATGGCGACTAGCCCCTCCCCTAGAAAACCGGGCTGCAGTCCTGCCGGCACAGTCTGATGGCCGGCAGCGTGAGCTGTGCTCCAGGCTCCCTTTCCCAGTGCAGTGCCTGAACCAAACCGGGGCTTCTTGACCTCAGGACTTGCATCTGCAGCTGGAGGTAATGATTGCCCCCGCTTACCTTCGAAGATGCTCTCTGGACTGTCCAGGTAGTGCATGTGAAGCGCATTGAGTGCGTCAGTGTTTTATAAATGCTGTGGCATCACGGTCTCCAGTGGGTGCAGCAAACTTTCTCTGGATCAGGTGTGATTTCTCCAATCCTTCAGCTGTGTCATGTGCTCAGTAGACGCGTGTCTTTTTCACCACCCCACTGAGGACGAGGTCAGGGCTTGAGGGAGCGACCCAGTGGGCCCCATGGCTGAGCAGAGACATGACGCGGGGGCCCGTGCCCCTGCGCCCTGTCCGTGGCTGTGCAGTCCAGCTGTCTGCAAGTCCGTGCACTGCTGGGGGCTGCTCCTGGCAGCCTCTTTGCAGAGGGGGAGGCCTGCTCCAGACACGGGGGCTGCACAATGGCTCCGGAGGCGTCTGCAGCCTCCTGGCAGCTCCCCTGGCCAGTCGTCGCAGTGCGGGTGCCCCCCAAAGGCGCTGTGCCGCTGCACCTGCCTGCCTGGATTTCTTCTGGGAAGGAAAAAGATGGAGGCAACAGTGGGGAAGAGGGGAGGAGCACATGGGAAGGCAGGCCTCTTGGACCCCATAACGTTTCGTGGGCAGGGTGCACACTGTTGCTCTGGAAGCTCCTCTGTGCTTGGGCCACTGCCTGCATTAAAGGTGCTCCATGTCCCACTGGCCGCACACAGCCCCCGCACGGGGGTGGGTGTCCCTGAAGATGGGTGGACTCCCCGAAGGGGCCAGACACAGGCCCTGTGTGGCGAGCGGGCGAGTGAGTGCCCCCAGGTCTGGTCAGAGAACAGCAGCTCCCTTCCCACTCCGCTCCACTCCTCCCCGCCAGTCCTCCTTTGCATTAGTCAAACGCACATCCCATTCAGGGGCAGGAAGAGGTGGGGTGGGCCGGGCCCCCTGCCGGTGCGGAGCTGGAGCTCCGTGCCCCCCGCACCCCCCCCCCCGTTGCTCGTGCCTTCCGGCCGGCCATTCCTCCCTGGGACTGGAGCAGAGGCCAGCCTGCAGGTGCTGGAACGGAACGGCCCTGGGCAGAAGCATCTTCCCCCAGGGGTGTGCAGCCCGATCGGCCCAGCCCTGAGCCGGTGGCCGTGCCCAGGCGCAGACTTTGGGTGCCAGGAGACTCTTCCTGCTGCCGGGATGGGGTGCCTTTCACAGCGACATCGTCCCCCAGACCTGCCCCCTCCCTCCCCACCTCGTGACCCGCCGTGCTTTTCTCCCTCTTGTCTCTTCTCTTGCAGGTGTCCTGGGAAGCGTTCTTAAAGGGCTGACTTAAAATGAGCTTGAGCAAGGCCCTAATTTTTCCCTTGACTTTGAACGTGAGAAGGGATTTTTATTTTTTTGCCTTTATTTTAATTCACCACTTTCACACGTGTTAGTTCTTATTTCATTGTTAGCATTGATTTATGTCATTTCACGTTACTCTGCTGGAGGGCGAAGGAGCCGCTGTGGGCTGGGTAGTTCCTGCAGGCTGGGGGAGCAGCGCCTGGCCAGGCGGGAGCGGCCACTGCGGATGTGCTGGGGGGGGGGGGGCACTCAGGGGGCCGTGCAAAGCCTTCTGGCGGGCAGGTGGTGAGCAGCCCCTCCGAGGGGAGGCGGTGCAAGGCGGATGGCGGAGGAGCTCTGCAGCACCAGAGGCCGCAGCCTCTCGGGGGAGGGCTCGGGAAGCCAGCGTCAGCTCTGCTCTCTGAAGGCCCCCAGTGGGGACCTACTGCAGCTTGCGCAGTCCACACCTCATCTGGTCCCAATCCCAGCTCCGCCCCTGGCTTGTGCCACGACAGAGGAGGAGCGTGTGTCTTGAATTTTCCTGACAGGCTGATCACACGGCTGCATGCCAGCCAGGGCCCAAAGGCAGGTTGCCACACCGCCTTGGAAGCCGGCCCACGTTGCATGTGACTGAGCCACTCGTGGTGTGGAGGGCTGCGCGGCTGGCGCTGTGCTTGCCCCGAGCTGCCCATCCTGAAGCACAGGGGGCCCATGACTGCTGGAAAAGTTGCCCCCCCGGGGAGAGGGGCCTGGGTGTGTGCTGGGCGGGATGGCACGGCAGCCAACCTGGCCAGGGTTTCCCAGGTGGAAGCGTCGCCTTTCTCAGGAAAGGAAGGGTTAGGCTGTTGCTCAGGTTGCCCTTGGCTCGGTCTCCGTTTTGTTCCCATGCTTTTTATTTTGTGTTGGTTTTCCTGTCCATTTATTTTCTGATCTTTCTCCTGTACCACAAAGGGCCAAAAGCGTGTGGGCTTATCAGAGAACAATGTTCCAAATTCTTCTGCGCTCCTGGGCCCGCCATGGCCTGCCGGTGCTCTCCAAGGGTGGCCGAGATATTTTCCCCTGCCCAGGTGGCGGTGCCGGGGGACCGGTGGCCTGCCCAGGATCGCGGGCCAAGGCTGGAGCAGAAGTGCTTGGGCTGCTTCAGGGTGCCCTGTAGTCAGGCCAGCTCCAGTGTCCGCCCGGGCACAGGATGTGGGGCGCACCCCCAGCGAGCGGTGCCCACCACGCCCTTCCACCCTGCCGAGGGACTGGGCGGAGAGCTGCCTGGCGAGGCATGTTCTGAACACGTCTCTTTCTCTCTGGCGGGGTCTGTGGCAGACGCTCAGCCCACAGAGGCTGAGACAGCTGTGTGGAACCAGGTGAACGCCGTCCTGGAGGAGGCGCAGGCGATCCTGGCTGAACTGCAGTCCTACGCGGGAGCAGGCCAAGAGATCCGAGAGGTACCACGACAGCTCTGCCGCCACGCCCTGAGCACAGCCAGGGCGAGGGCTGCAGCTACGCCTGTGCCAGTGCCGGTGACTCCCCCCCCCCCCCCGCCCCAGTCACGGAGGGCGAGCCAGGCCCCAGCCAAGGCGTGTACGCTGGGAGGCTGTTGGGGGAGCCCTGGCCGGGCCTCTCTCAAGCTGGGCTAAGGGGTGCAGAGCCCTTGGGCCTCGGCCACCACCGGTCACCGCTCCAGCACACAGTGCTGCCGGGCCAGGCTGCGCGGGGCATGTTGGGAGCTGCAGCCCGACACAGCCGGGGAGGGCCAGGTTGGGGAAGGCTGCATGGGCGTGCGGCCCCTCCTGGCGCCACCGGTCCCCAGCTATTGGCCGGTGGGACGAGAGCCTGGGGGAGGCCGAAGGGCCATGGGTGCTGGGAACCCGACAGCGCAGGCGGCGTGCAGGAGGGCCCGGGGCCCAGCAAGGCTGCGCCCTGGCACCTGTGGAGCCGCCCTGCCATCCCGTTCCTCTCGCAGGCCATCCAGAGCCCGGGTGACCTGCAGCTCCAAGAGAAGGCGTGGAAGGCGGTGTGCCCCCTGGTGGCCAAGCTGAAGCGCTTCTACGAGTTCTCCCTCAGGCTTGGTAGGTGCCCTGCGCCCATCCCGGAGGGCCGCGCTGCCGGCCTTGCGGAGGGAGCAGCTCCTTGCGGCTCCTCTCCCTTGTGCTGCACTTGGCTGACGCCGCATGTGGCCCAACTCACGCGGGGCAATCTTGCCGGCTTCTTCGTGGGCGAAGGACCGCATCTGCAGGTGCCACGAGGCGGCAGGAGGTGGGGTGGCCCACTGCAGGGCGGGCAGCAGGGCCGAGAGGGAGCCTGTTGCCCAGGCGGGGCTGAATATGGCGGGAGAGAGGCAGTCTGGCCTTGAGTATCCCTAACGGCGGCCGTTTCCAGCAGCCTGCCAGGATGCTAGTCCAGCACAAGCCGAGGAGGACTGACCTCAAAAGTTAAATTACCACCAGTGTTCCTGCGCTGCACTGACAGTCCGCATTTCTGCCCCTTGTGAGGAATCGCGCTACGGAGACTGGGCAGCCTCACGCTGCAGATTGCATGAGCAGAGCTGGCTAGAGCCGGGGTTAGCCTAGATGGCCCAGGGGCCCCTTCGGACTCACTTGGTTTCTATGTTCTCCTGCACTGCATTTTTGCCCTTCCAACAACAACCCTGTGAGGTTGATTAGGCTGAGGGTCTGTGACTGGCCCGAGGGCACCCAGTGGGCTTCATGGCCCAGGATGGGGGGAACTAAAACCTGGATCTCCTGGGTCCTCAGTCCAGCCCTCTCTCCACTACACCATAATGGTCTTTTTGTGTTGCCACAATTATATAAAGTGCCCAACTTGAAACATGTTTTGTGTCTAACAATTAAAATAACTAGAATTGCAATGTTATTCTAAAGGCCTGTTCTTCTAGAAACCGGTGCCTGCTTGTGCTCCTCCTCCCGCCACAGCCCTTTTTCCTTTTGTGTCATGGCTCTCCGAGGATAAGCCCAAGTGCCTTGCCGGAGGCCTTTTCAGCAGAGGGGGAAAGAAGCACTGAATAGGTCATATGGGATGAGACCCAGTGGAGTTGTGGATCGCAGCAGAGGGTGGCGGAGCACCACCCCATGGCCAGCCCCCACAAAGTCCCCAAGGGGCGCTCCCACAAGGGGGGGGGGCAGCAGGCAGCCCTGTGGGTGCTTTCACCCCAAAGGCCCCCTGCCTGCCCTGCTAGGCTGGCGGAGGCTGATGGGAGCTGTAGGCCAAGACATCTGGCGGGCCAGCAGTTGCCCACTGCCATCCTGGTGCCGCCCCAGGGCCCAGCCCTGCCAGCAGCCGCCACGCTGTGCTGCCCCCCCCCCGGGTGGGCGGGCAGGCCGGAGGAGCGAGGGGGCTGCTGGAGTGCCCACAGCCCCCACATGCCACTTCCCTCGGGGTGCGGGGGCCCAGCGAGGCGCTCGGCCGTGCGAGGAGCCCCTGCCTGACACGCTGCTCTCCACCTCCTAGAGAACGCCTTGCGGAGCTTGCTGGAAGCTCTCACCAGCCCGCCCTACGCACCGACCCAGCACCTGGAGAGGGAGCAGGCCCTGGCCAAGCAGTTCGCCGAAATCCTGCACTTCACCCTCAGTTTCGATGAGCTGAAGGTACCCTTGAGCCAGGCAGGAGAGAAACCTTCTGTGGGGGGGGGGGGGTCCACAGCCCACACAGTCGGGGCAGGAAGTTTTTGCCCTTGGTCACCATTTGGCATGGGATCTCGGGGCAATTGCAAGAAACGGACTTCTGAATCTTCATTCCATGGAACGGGTCTGTGTACTTGGCGTCATTTGGCAGCTGGCCCACGGTGTGTGGCCTGCCCCTTTCCTGCCCCCCCTTGAGACCCAGACCCCGTGGCTGAGCGCTGCCCGTGTCTGTCCCACAGATGACCAACCCCGCCATCCAGAACGATTTCAGCTACTACAGAAGAACTATCAGTCGAAACCGAATCAACAACCTGCAGGTGAGGAAACACTGGCTCTTTGTGAACAGGGGGCCAGACAGAACTCAGCATGAACGGAAATGCTCAGCACAAGCAGCAAAGCAAACTCAGAGCTGCAGCCTCAGTGCAGCTGGCGGGGGGGGGGGGGGGGGGGGGGGGGGGGGGGGGAGAGCAGGCAGACATGCAGCGACTTTTGAATGGCAGGGTCTTGGTTTGTTAGAAATTGATATGCCTCTCTGCATAATGGAACAAGATTGCTAAGGGTGGACATATGCAATCTAGATAGTAGAATCATAGAATAGTGGAGTTGGAAGGGGCCATGAAGGCCATTGAGCCCACCCCCTGCTGCTGCAGGACACCAAGTCACACCATCCCACTCAGAGGGCTGCCCAGTTTCACCTTGAATGTCTCCAGTGTGGGAGAGCCCCCCACCTCTCCAGGCAGCTGGTTCCACTGTCGTATTGCTTTGACAGTGAGAAAGCTTTTCCTGATGTTCAGCCTGAATCTGGGTTGTTGCAGCGTGAATTGATTACTCCTCTGGTATCAGGAAGAAGAGATCTTGACCTTCCACTTTGTGACAGCCTTTCAGGTACTTACAGAGGGATATCATGTCCCCACTCAGTCTTCTCTGCTCAAGGCTGAACATGCCCAGTTCTTCCAGTCTCTCCTCACAGGGCAGTGTTTCCAAAACCTGGATCATTTTTGTTGCCCTCCTCTAACTTTTCTGCATCTTTCTTCAATCTTGGTGCCCACAACTGGACATAGTATTCCAGATGAGGTCTGACTAGTGAGGAGTATAGAGGAACTACCACTTCTCGTGATTTGGAAGTGATACTTCTGTGAATGCATCCCAAAAGAGCATTTGCCCTTTTGGTGGCTGCATCACATTGTTGGCGCCTGTTTTAGCCTGTTGTCCACAATAACGCCAAGGTCTTTTCCCTTTTCGGTCCTGTTGAGCCACACATTCCCCATCTGGTATCGATGCCTTTGGGTTCTTTTTCTAGGCGGAGGACTTGGCACTTGTCCTTCTTGAACCTCATTCTGTTGCTTTCAGCCCAGCGCTCAAGTTTATCAGGATTGCCCTGGATCTTCATTCTGCCTTCTAGGGTGCTCACTGTTCCACCCAGTTTTGTATTATCGTCAAACTGATAGATGTTATTGTTGATCATTACTGACCTCAGAAAATATACAAAGCAGCAACAATGAAACCTAGAAACTGGCGTCCTCAACTTTGTGCTCATGTCATTTTTACGAAGGGTGCCCCTTGCTTGCTGAGTCAGCAAAGCAGTTTGGCTGGGGCATGCTGGGAGCTCCTTTCTGCTGAAAGTGCTTGGAAGGGCACCTTGTGCTGTGGCCGCTTGAAGCAGTCTCCCCGCTGAGCATCTGCTCTCCTTCCTGCCCTGCAGCTGGATGCTGAAAGCGAGGTCAACAACGAGATGGCCAACCGGATGTCCCTCTTCTATGCAGAGGCCACACCGATGCTGAAGACGCTGAGCAATGCCACCACCAAGTTTGTTTCCGAGGTGAGCGAGGAGGAGGAGGAGGAGGAGGAGGAGGAGGAGGAGGAGGGGGTCTCTGAGGAGCTGCAGGAGGGGCCGGGGGAAGAGGAGCCTGCGTCACACTGACTCTGCAAAGAACCCTGAGCTGCAGTGGCAGAGCTCCCGCAGCGGAGTTAGCTAAGCCATGCATGGTTCGAATGTGATGTGCATGGAGACGCCCTGCGGGCAGAGACCACAGCAAGGCTCAGGCAGCTCTCCGACACTAGGCCAGGGGTCCTCCAACGTTTTCAACAGGGGGCCAGTTGAAAGGCGGTGGCAGCAGGTGCGGGCCCAGTCGCCCCCAGCCTGGCTACCCCCAGGCTCGCATAATGAAAAATGCCATGTTTTTCTGTGTATAGGACACTACTTTTTCTTTAAAACATTTAGCTAAAAATGGAGGTGCATCTTATACACGGGGGGCCAAGAGGAGAACTGCGGGAGCGCTCGGGGGGGGGGGACTGGCATGACTGCGTGTGGGGGGGCGGCGAAGCGGGGCATGCAGGGGACGAAGTGGTGTGTGCAGGCAGGGGGGCAGTGAGGCGGCGCGGGCGAGTGAGGCCTCGTGGGGGGCGGTGAGGTGCTGTGCGCGTGTGCGGGGGGGGTGAAGCGGCGCCCACGCACAGCAGCAGCTTGCTCACTGGAGATTGATAGGAAAAGTGGGGGGCCTCCTATACATGGGGGAGTCTTATAGACAGGAAAATACGGTAAATTTAAAAAGTTGTATTTTTGTTACCTTCAATGCTTTCGTCCTCCTCTTCCTTTCTTTTCCACCCGCCCAGCTCTCTCCCGTTTCCTGCTCTGTATATGCATGCAATGGGTTGGGGTCTGAGCCGACACACGCGCAGTTGAGCTGTTGCAATTTGGGCATGAGCCGGCTCGCTCTCTGCCTGGTTTTAAAGAATGCCTGTGCCGGCTCAGAGCTTTTGGACTCGCTCAGAGATTTTCTCTGAGCAAGTCCAAAACCTCTGAGGCAGGCCAGATAAATGGGCATGGCGGGCTGGATCCGGCCCACTGGCCGTAGTTTGAGGACCCATGCACTAAAGGGCTGAGGATAGGCTGAGTGGAGGTCGACAACGAACCCTGGGTTATTGCGCGCCTGATCCTGGCCAGGATAACAAGCTATGCTGAACAACCCATACTTCATAGCACATCAACAAACCATGGGCTCTTTCCATGGGCTGTTTATGGCTAACCAATCATGGCTTGTTAGCACAGCTGGATTTGGGGAACCTTTCAACCCTCTTTCCAACAGCACTTTTAATGTCCCGGCGCTTGCCCAATCGGCCTGCTTGAGTCTGGCCAGTGTGTGGGGAGGCTGGGGGACCTAAGCAAGCGTCCCCATCAGAGATGCGGTTCGCCCTCAGTGGGGAAGACATGTGCGCCTGTCAGTGCACAGGCCAGATCTGTTCTCTTGCTGTCTCATTCCAGAACAAAACTCTCCCGATCGAGGACACAACCGACTGCTTAAGCACCATGGCCTGCGTCTGCCGGGTGATGCTCGAGACCCCGTGAGTGCATGCCTGCCCCATCTGCCTCAGCAAGCCTGCTCATGGCAGTGTCGAAAAAGCTGTGTGAGGGGCCCTCCAACCAAGCCCCAAAGTAACTATGCAAGATACAAAGAACAAGCTGGGACCAGTCCCCAGCAACGCCCTTCGCCAACCTTCCACATGCCAGGAGGTGGCTCACCTAAGGACCCTCTCTGGGGAGGGGCTTCCCCATCACAGAGGCCACCACTGCACAAGGCCATGCCGCGCGGCACCATCCCTCGATCATTTGAGGGACTAGCCGCCTCCCCCCCACTGCCCTGCTCCAGAAGCTTGCTCATACAGGGGAGCAGCTCCCTTAGGGGAACAACTGTGTTGCTTCCTCCCATGCTGGCTCCTCCTCAGGGCATGAGCACATGCCACTGCATGGGAGAGGGGCTGCCCTGGAAGTCCTTCAGGAGGGGCAGGTGCAGCGCAAGCTGGCTGGGCCCCGGGAGGTGTCAGAGGGCTGCAGGGGAGGCCCGTGCATGCAGCAGGCTGAAGGCGCTTCTTCAAGGGCCTGTCTCTCACTGCAACAGGGAATACCGGAGCCGATTCACCAACACCGAGACGCTCCTCTTCTGCATGCGTGTGATGGTGGGCGTCATCATCCTCTATGACCACGTCCACCCTGTGGGGGCTTTTGCCAAGACCTCCAAAATCGATGTGAGTGGGCGTTCCTCCTTGCAAGGAGCAAACCCCGGGGCTGTCATAGGAAGCACCCAGCAGCCCGCATGGCTTGTGGCTGAGCTGGCGGGGGCTGGCCCCAGCCCAGGCTGTGCAGAAGTGGTCCCCCGCCTGTCCTCCACACCGAGTTGCGTCCCAGTGAGTCAGGGGCTAAGGAAGGTTGGGGGTCAGTGCTGGGCGGTGCGATTTCCTTGTGGATCAGGAACTGGGGAGAAGACCCGGCAAGCCTTGCCCAGGGCGGGAGTTAGGCGCCCGACCAGACCAGCCAAGGGCCGTCTTCCCTCCCTTGGGAACCCACTCGCAGACAGACAGAAGGACGGAGGGACGCCAGCAGCCCTGTCGCACTTCCGCGGTGCTCCCCCACGGACCTCTAACGACGTTTTCTCCCCCCCCCCCCCCCGGCGCTGCCAGATGAAGGGGTGCATCAAGGTGCTGAAGGAGCAGCCCTCCAGCAGCACCGAGGGCCTCCTGAACGCGCTGAGGTAAGCCGTGCGCCCCCCCCCCCCCCGGGTGGGGAAGGGCGCGTGGGATCGCGGGGGCGGCACTGGCGGGGAGCAGCGGCCGCGCTCGGTCCTTCCAGCGCCGCCCTGCAGGCGAGCGAGCGAGCGAGCGCCCTCCCGCCGCTCCCGCGGCCAGTGGGCGCGGAGAAGGCGAGCGGGCCCCGCGCGGCTCCGCTGGTTTCCAGCCCTGCACGCGGCGAGCGGCGCTTCGGCCCCCTTGAGCCGCCGCTTGCGCAGGAGTTGCCGGGGAGGGGCGGCCTGGCCTCCGGGCTCCAGCTCTGCGGCCGGCCCGGCCCGGCCCGGCCCCTACGCAGCCGCCCCCGCCCCCGCCCCGGCGCCTCCCACGAAGCCCCGGCCTCGCCTCCGCCCACGCGGCCGGCCGGGCGGGCGGGCAGCCGCCACCTGGGGCAGCCCGCCCTCACGCCGCGCTTCTGCCGCCTCCCCGCCAGGTACACCACCCGGCACCTCAACGACGATACCACGTCCAAGCAGATCCGGGCGCTGCTGCAGTGAAGGCCCTGCGGCGAGGGCAGCCGATCGGCCGAGGCCTGCAGAGTCGCTTCACAGACACTTCCGCAGAACCGTTCATGTTGACATGTGACTAGAAATAACCATTGGGCATCATATTTCTCATTTTGTAAAAGAGAGAGGGGAAGAGGAAGACGAAGGACAGCAACAATAACAATAGGAAGATGATGATCGAGAAGAGAATGGGGCAGATTTTAAATATAAATAAATATTAATATGCAGATATAAAAAACTGTGACGGATAATCCAGCCAGCTCAGCACCGAGGTACCCTGTGTCCAGCCAGGACAGAAGCACAGTCCCTGCACTTGCCCCGCACCCCTCCCATCCCATCCCTGCTGCCACGCTGCTCCAGAAGGGGAGACCAGCTGGAGGCGGCCTGAGCGGCTCCACGTGGGAACAGCCCTCTTGAAACCAGGTGGAAAGTCTGTTCCGAGCTCCGCTGGGTCCCGGGGACAGGTGGCCCATTTTGGCCTGGACTCAGTGGGGCGTGGGGAAGTTCAGCGGGGACCATGGAGAGGTCTTCCCCTTGATGGACATAGTATATCTGGAGATGGGAGCCGGCTGGGAAGATGGATGGATGCTCACGATGGACATCATCGTTAAAACCTTTGACACTTGTTCCATTCAAAATGGCTCAGTCACACCTTTTAGATTTTTAATATAAGCAATTAAGATTCACTCACCTATTATTTTGTACATTTTTGTGTCAAAATTAAAAGAAAAAGTAAACTGTTGTGTGAGAGATAAGCCCAGTTGTCTCATGGCTTCATGTTCCAAGCAAGGCTAGAATGGTAGAAAACAAAACCAAGGTTTCTGGGCACTTACTTGCCAGGCATGTGCACTGGCCAGGCGGCCAGTGGAGTAGGAGGAAGTGGCACACCTTGTGAAAAGAAAGAGGCAGTGTTCCTTTCTTCAGACCAAATCACACATTGAAAAGAAAACTATTAGAATCCATATATGGTTTCCAGGGGTCGTGACCTGGCTCTTTAAGTAGCTGGACTGCATTGTAAGCACAAATTCAAGAACATGATGCTATGTACATCTGTTTTGGTTGCTCTGCACCGTCACATGGTCTTCAGCCGATGGTGACCCCATGAATGAAACCCCTCCAGTGACTTGTCCGGACAGCCCTGCAGCGCTCTTCAAGTCTGAGGCTGCGGCTTCCTTTCTGGCGTCCATCCACCTCATCTTTGGCCTCGCCTTGCCTTTCTGCCTTCCACTTTCCCTGGCGTGATGGTCTTCTCCAGGGAGTCTCGCCTTCTTGTGAAACGCCTGAAGTATGACAGCCTCACTGTCGTTTCTGCTTCCAGGGGAAGCTCTGGCTTGATTTGCTCTAGGGCCGCCCTGCTTGTCTTCTGTCGGTCCAGGGTATTCGCCAAGCTCTCTCCTCCAGCACCAAGTTCTGAACGCGTCCATTTCCCTCCTGTCAGCCTTCCTCACTGCCCAGCTTTCCCGCCCACGGACTGGGATCGGGAGTGTGGGTGATCCTGGCCTTGGTCCCCAGGGGAACGTGCTTACGCCGGATGGTCTTTCCCGGTTCCTCCAGCACTGCCCTTCCAATTCTCCGTCTTCAGTGGCAGGTGCAATCTTTCGCAAGTTCAGCTTCTTTGTTATTAAGAGTAAAGTTCTCCCGTCAACATGATTTCAGTTTACTGAATGTTCAGTTGCAGGCCTGCTTTTACACTTCCTTTCACGTTCATCAGGAGTCGTTTCAAGTCATTGCTGCTTTCTGCCAGGTGTATGGTATCACCTGTATACCTTCAATTAGTGACGTTTCTTTTGTCCATTTTCACTCCTTCCCCTGATTTTAATTCAGCTTTTTAAGGATATGTCTTGCATACAGATTGAACAGATAGGGAGATAAAAATACATCCTTGTCTGACACCTTTGCCTGTGGAAAACATTCTGCTGCTCCTTGTTCCGTCCCAACTGTAGCTTCTTGGTTATTGAAACAGAGCAAGTCAGAAGGGGTCACCCAGGACATCTAGTCTGACCCCTGGCTCCAGCAAGCTCCACTCATGCAATTCGCAACATGTGGTTGTCCAATCTTGCCTTGAACACCCTCACTGATGGGGCCCCCACCACCTCCCTTGGAAGCCCATTCCATGTTCTGCAGACAAGGGCTGAGGCACCCCACTTTTTCTTTCTGGATCATCCATGGCTTCTCGGGTTCCACACAGTCCAAGGCTTTGCTACAGTCTATAACGTGTAGCCTGATCTGTGTCTGAAATTCTTTACTGAGCTCCAGTAGCCAACATGCATTTGCAATATGTTCTCTAGTGCCTCTTCCTTTTTGGAAACCAGCTTGGATGCCAGGCTTTCCTTGCTCCATACTGGGTAGAATTCTTTGCTGAAATTATTTGAAAATCACTTTGTATGCATGGCAGATTAATGCAATGGCCCCATTATTTATTCATTCATTCATTTCATGTCTATGCCCTATAGTCAAAGCACTCTGGGCAGTTTACAATGGGGTACAAAACAAAGCACACAAAGCAACAATGTTACAAAGTTAAAATTAATTTAAAATAACTTAAAATACAGTAAAAGGACAATAAAAAGACTCAGGAAGAAAACTTACTAGGATAAGATCTTGAAATGCCTTCATCTAGAAGTCTGTCTTGACCTGGCACCTAAATGATGGCAAATTTGGTGCCAGTTGAGGTTGTTCTGAAAATGGGGGCCACCACAGAAAAGCTCCCTGCCATCAGTTGGCAGCCTCCAGGCCTCTCAGAGGAAGGCTGTAGAGTTGCACAGTTTTGCATCTCCTTCCTTGGGGTTTGGAATAGATATCGAACATATTCAGTCTGTGGGCCATTGTTTTGTCTTTCATATTGACATATTTTTGTTATGACTGATTCATTTTAATTTAATTCAGGTTGAATGATGCAAATCTGTTTTCCCACATCTGTCTTTTTACTTGCCATGGCAAATCCACTAAGGAAAACGAGGAATAGCTCTGCAATGCCTTTGGATGTGTCCACGTTTTGGGCAGCACAAGCTGATGCTAGCCATGCTTCTGGTGGCTGGCCCGGCTTCTCTGGAGAAAGCTAATGACACCAAAATCAGATCATGATGACAACCTGAGGCCGTGTCGGTTTCAGGGAGATGTTCTCCAGCCTTTCAGGATGAGGCAAGCTTGTGGGTGCAGGGCTGCGAACATCGCCCTGCCGAATCCACGCTTCCCCCGGGCAGCCTCGCCTGGCTTGTGGTGCTCCAGCCAGCGTGCCCCGCTCACCTGGAGTGGAGGTTCTTCCATGGAGCAGTGGATGCACTGTACAAAAACAACCCCAAATGCCCCAGATGTGAGTGAAAACAAGGATAGCCTTGTGCCTGCAACGACGCGGGCCGTGCACCTGGACCCCTCTTGCAGTCAGAAGCCCTCCCAGTGGCAAGTCGAGCCTCGGCCTACATGGCACGTGCAAAGCATCTTCGGACAAAAAGCATGGCTCAGCTTCCACTGGCTTCACACCAGCAGGTGATCTCCGCCAGAGAAAGCAGAGCAACAACTGCTCCATTCTAGTCAGCACAACTTATGGCACCACAACTGCAAATCCATGTTAAGTCTGGCCCTTGAAAATGCCCCTCCCAAGACTGCTCTTGGAGAAATCCACCTCAGGCACATTGGGCCAAACCAGGATTTGAAGGCCGCAGGAGGAGAGATGTGCAGAGAAGTGGGACGGTCCGCCCTTTGCGCCGGGGCTCAGCCATCTGAGGTGTGCAAGGCTGACCTGGCGAACTGAGAGCGTGCCCCCAGCCAGCACTGGTTGCACCCTGGCGGGGGGGGGGGGGGGGAGCCTCCTTTGGGGACAGCTTTCCTGACGGTGCTTCTGATGGGACAGAATGTGGAAACCCCTGCCTCAAACTGCCTGCTGCGCACAGAGCTCCAAGCCCCCGGCTGTGAGGAGCAGGGCTTCCGGCACGTCACACCGTTTCACTTTCAGAGGGCACTGAGTCCTGTGGAACTGAGCACAGATGCACTTTTGTGGCAGCAGACCCCCCCCCCCCCCACAACTTTGCCTGCAAAAGTCCACATTCCAAGACATTTGGTTTCTTGTGCTTGCAAAACAAACACCGGGGGGCGGGGGGGAATGTTGACACCAAACTGCCAAGAGTTCCCACCTGAAATCAGTTGGTCCGAACAGCACTGATTGGTCCAAACTGGCACACCAGCTCACTTTGCCAAGAATGTGGGGGAAAGGCCATCCTCTGGAAAACTCGTCGTGCAAGCCTTCCTGTGAATGGGGCCCCAGCTCCAGAAGCTATTTTCAGTGAGACATGCTGGAGAACCATAGAATCATCGCACACTAGAGTTGAAAGGGGCCATGAAGGCCGTCGGGTCCAACCCCTGGCTGTTGCAGGGAGAACATCCCTAGAGGAGAGATGAGTGCTTCCTCTTTTATCAAAGACATTTCCAAGGTGGAAACAGAGGCGAGCCTCATCCAGGTGTAGCGTCAGGGCCCAGGAGCTTGGCATCACGGAGCTGGGGCTGAAAAGCCCTCCCAACCAGCCTCCCCCCCAAAAAGGGAGGGGCAGGGGCAGCACTTGGGCTCATCTGCAGATCGTACTGCTGCTGTTGGGTATGCAGAAAGCGCCCACAAGCAGCAGCTCTGAATCAGGGCTGGGGGTTTAATGGGTTTGAGGAACAGATATGGAGCATTCCTTCTCTGCTGCCCGTCCTGCCAGGTCCCCTTACTCAGACCTGGCTTTTGGTATTCAGAAAATTGCAAAATATCTTGAAAGCCTGATCATTCCTGAATATCAATCCTTCCTAAAGCCAGATTCAGTTGGATTCCCTCTGCTGCATGGAATTACCTATAGAGGGCACCTCTGCCTGTGGAGAGGTGAACGGGCACAGTCCCAACCTCACTTCTCCTGTGCACTTTTAGAGAGATGTGTGAAGAAGATGCATGCCCGGAATACCTTGTGATTGGCATATGGCTGACTGACTGGCTGATGTTAACAAATGCGTAGCAGAGGCTCTTGCAACCTTTTCATGTTCGATGAGGCTATTTTCCAGATGTATAGGTCATAATTTATTGGTAATATGTTGTCTAAATGTGTCCGGTAGCTGAAGCACAGCTATTCTTGGGTTTTGTGCTTTGCCTTATTAATAATGGTGCTCTAACAAGTAAGATGGTGATGGTAATAATTTGAGCTCTGGGTGGGGAAAGTGATCGTTTTCTGTAGGACAGGTACAGGAAGGCCCTATTAAAATGGGCAAACTTACAGCTACACATAGAACCATAGAAACAGAGCGAGTCAGAAGGGGTCTCCCGGGCCATTTAGTCTGACCCCCGGCACCAGCCAGCTCTGTTCATGATATGCCCACCATGTGGACATCCAGCCTATCCTTGAACACCCTCACCAATAAGGCCTCAACCACTTCCTGGGGAAGCCCATTCCACACCCTCGGGATCCTGACTGTCAGGAAGTGCTTCCTCGCATCCAAATGGAACCTTGGTTCCCTGAGCTTTGCTCCGTTGGAGCGCATCCTGCCTTCCTCTGTAGGAGAGAACAGATCTCTACCCACCTCCATGTGACACCCCCTCACATACCTGCATGTCACCAATAGATCCCCTCTGAGTCTCCTCTTCTCCAGGCTGAAGAGACCCAGTTCCCTCAGTCTCCCCTCATATGGCAACCCCTGCAAACTGGCCACCGACCTTGTGGTCCTACGCTACACTGACTCTAACCTGGCTATATCCTTCCTGTAATGAGGGGCCCAAAACTGAGCACAATACTCCAGTTGTGGGTGCACCAGAGTCGTATAGAGTGGTAGTAATACCTCTTTCGATCTAGAAGCCACACTTCTGGCTCTGCAACCAAGGGTGGTGTTCACCCTCTTGACCACCGCATCACACTGTTGGCTCATGTTTAGCCTGCAGTCGACCAGCACCCTGAGGTCCCTTTTACAAGTGCTGCTCTCCAGCCACTTGTCCCCTAAGCTGTACTTATGACACCCATTCCTATGCCCCAAGTGCAAGACCTTGCACTTATCCACATTGAACGCCATCCTGTTGCCTCTTGCCCACTTCCATAGTCTGTCCAGATCCTTCTGGATCTGGAGTACCTGCTCCTCAGTTGTGGCCACTGCCTCAGTTTTAGTATCATCTGAGAATTTGATCAGCAGGCTGGTCACCCCTTCTTCCATGTCGTTGATTAACAGAGTGAACAGGATCGGCCCCCTGGGGGACTCCGCTTGTTACTGGCCACCATCCCGATGATTCCCCACTAATGGTTACCCTCTGCTTTCGATCAGTCAGCTGTGCCCTAATCCACCGGACAGTGCTTTGGTGTATCCCAAAACTCCTCAGTTTCTCTACCAGGATATCATGGGGCACTTTGGCAAAGGCCTTGCTGAAATCCAGGTAAACCACATCCACTGCATCCCCTCCATCCAGCCACCTTGAAACCTTGTCATAGAATTCCACAAGGTTTGTCTGGCAGGACTTGTTTTTGCGGAAGCCGTGTTGTGTGGCTGTCAGCCTCCCTTCCCTATCTAGCATCACTAGATCCCTCCCTATTATGAGCCTTTCCATTGTTTTTCCTACAATGGACATAAAGCTAACAGGTCTGTAATTCCCCAGGTCCCTTCTACCACCCTTTTTGAAAATTGGGACCACTGATGCCACCCTCCAGTCCTCTGGAATTTCACCTGTTCTCCATGAGGTCTCAAAAATGGAGGCCAGCGGGCATGAGAGAACCCCTGCCAACTCTCTAAGTACTCTCGGGTGTAACCCGTCAGGGCCTGGCGCCTTTGTAATGTCTAATGCCCTGAGGAGCCCCTCGACTTCAAGGGGGGGGGGTGACTCTAATCTGTGCCCCTAAGTCCCTGGCCTCATCTAATCTCCTTTGCGGATGTCCCCCATCCTGCTTTGGGGAGAACACAGAGGCAAAATTGTCATTTAGCATCTAGCACTAAGCCTGCAGGAGTGGCACCTGCCACTCAAATGCAGCGACGTTGGGGCTGCATTGACCAAGCCCCCGGCCCCTGCCCTGGACGCTGCCCCAGTGCAGGCACCATGGAAGCTGAAGGAGGCTGTTGGAGCGGCTCCACAAGGACGTCCTTGCCCTCCAGGCAAACATGCCTGAAGCTTCACTCAGCCTTGGAAGGCCTCCTCCCTGACCTGTGCCACTAGGAAGTTGGCTGTGTGAGCACCTGCACCCGTGCGTGCCAGGGCTTCTGTGGTGGTGGTGCTAGAATTGTGGAATATCTTCTCTGGTGAGACCAGCCAACTCACCTCGCTTCTGCTCTTGGACCTTAGTGCTTTGGAGGCTGAGTTCAGCCCAGCATTTGGGGGTCTCCATTTACTGCAGTGTGAAGTGAGCAGGTGCTTGGCTCAACTCATGGTTGCATCCACGTTTGTTCTACCTGCTCACCTGCGAGAAAAGCATGCAATGGACTCACTGGACTTTTTTCTGCAAGTCTGTCCCATGAAGGCTGTGTGCACCTCCCAGGTCACACAAGGTGATTGTTTTTGCTGCATTTTGTTGACACAGCTGATCATCTGGAAGTCTTTTTTCCCTTTTTAAAGTCATTGCATGGTGTCTCACGGGTGCTTCCGTACACCGCACAGAGGACACGACTTATGCATGAAACAAGCACAAGCCCAGCTTCTGGAGTGCACAGCCCAGAAATCTTGCCCACCGAGAGAGAGGGAGAGAGAGGTAGGTAGGTAGGCAGGTAGGGGCTATTTCTAGGCCATCCAATCTCTCTGAGTCTCTGGACGGCGCTACCCCCAGACATGCCCTTAGGACCTCCCTGGAGGATTCCTCAGATGAAGAGCAGGAGCTGGAGGCAGAGTGAGTTCGCCCCTTGAAATGGAGGTGGCGCACGGCTTCCACAGAGGCCCAGGCGGCCCAGACGCTGCCTCGGTTGGCCAGCTGTGCCAATTTCCAGCTGGCTGGGCATCAGGTTGGACAGAGCTGCTCCTTGGCAAGCAGCGAGCAGAGTTCTCTGACCTCGCCAAGACTAGGCGGCCTCTTGCTGGACACCCTTCTGGCCATGCCTGCCTGACCTGGAACTTGGGACGGACACACCAACCACACGTCCGTGGCTCTTGGCCTGGACTGACCATTCCTGGGCAGGGAGCAGGCGGGCGTTCCTGGGCATGGGGCGGGACAAGCTCAGGCCACCCTCAAACCCCACCTGCAAGTAGGGAGCTCCTCCCTCTGGTGTCCCACCTGTACATGCTAAGTGCCTAGTCAGCGACAGTCACTCTCCACATGCTCAGAGACAGTCTGCCTCTTTTTGTCTTACTGTCCTGTATCATTTCTCACAAATGCCCCCAGATTCCCAGGGCTCAAACACTCCTCGTTCTAAACCCTTCTCCCCGGAGGAAGGCTGCCCTTAGCCCGGCTGGGCACAGGCAGTGCGTGAGACAGGCTTCGAGCGGCAGTGGAGTGCCGTTTCCCAGTCCCACGTAATTAATGACCTTATCTTGGGCTCGAGCCATTTTGCCAAAGTGGCTGCTGGCAAGGGGGGAGGAAAAGGTGTGGGGCGCACAGAGGGGCATGGGCATTTGCCCACAGCCATGTGTCGGTCCCCCCCCACCCCCTCCTTCCTCACACACGAAACTGAATGCACAAGAGGGGGAAGGGATTTCCCAGCACGGGTGGCCCACCCCTTCGGGCCACTCGTGGACTCAGAACGCCCAAGCGCCCTGCACGGGAAAGGGGGCCTTCTAGCCGGGAGCTTGTCCCAACACCACGAGTGGGACGGGGACAGGACACGCATTACCTGCACGCGCTTTCCCACCGGCCCCTCCGTCCTGGCCCCTTTCCTTCCGCTGCTCTTCCCAGCCACTGAGGAGCTGGGCATCACCCATTGGCGTGGTCTGGGAAAAGGCGCCCGCCAAACCTCGGCTGAAGGGGGGCCAAGTCCGCTGCAGGAGGGTGCGCCCTGGGAGCTCTCTGCAGAAGGGTCCTTGCCCACCCACCAGTCCGCTCCCAGCAGCAGTGGTGTCCCCACCCCATTTAGGTTGGTGCAGGAATTGCTTCGTTGGCTTGAATGGGGGGAAAGTCCTCCGGGGGGGCGGCAATAGGCACCCCTACTCACATCACAGCCCCTGCCACCCCAGGGCTTCCCCTGCACAATGGAGGAACCGCTCCATCCACCTTCTGGTGGCAGCGAGGGTGCTTGACGAGCGCCCTGGCAGAGGCTCGAGGACACGGCGTGCCTGGGCACAGTGGCAGGACCCCGGCGGTGCTTGCTCGCTGGTTGCCGCCTGGCCCTTTGTCCAAGGTGGCCATGCCAGCAAATCCTTCTGCCGGCCACCGCCGCTCTCCTGACACCGAGTACCCGCAGCCACTGCTCCTCCGTGCCCTCCTCTCCTTCCGGTGGTAGCCTTGGCAGTGCCAAGGCAGGCAGTGGCCCGGTCACCCTCGGAGCAAGCACCCATGCCGGGCGGGGCAGCTCCGCGCTCCCATGCTCCCGGGCATTTGTTCAAAGAAGGCTTCTGCCGAACTTCCTGGTGCGTCGGACTCCTCTCCCTCCCTTGCCGCTGCCCGGAGCCTGCGCTGGCCTCGCCTCGGCAGCGGGCAGCCCAGTCCTGTCCCGGCACGCGCACCAGCAACCTGCACCTCTCAGCTTCCGCCGTGTCACCAGGTTCCCTCCCTCCCGGCGACTGCCAGCACAGGCCTGGAGCAGGGTGCCTCCCCTTCACACAGTGCCGGTCCACGGCACCCGGGACGCACGCCCGCTGCAGCCTCCTGCCGCTTCCCCTGCGCCCATGGGATGCTCCTCCTGTGCCAGCGCCACCCAGCCTCTCCATGGCGCCACAGGGGTGGGGGGCCCTCTCAGCCACGAGACCACACAAGGGGCTCTTAGCAGAGATCAAGAATGAACCACTGTCACGACCTGGAGGGGGGAAGAATAGTTTATTAAGCTGGACACAGCACAGCACCAACGGATCACGCAGGGCCAGTCAGCCTGTCCGGAGCTGAGAGCTGACACACACTCAGTCCCCGCTCCGCCAGGCCCCCGATCCCTCGGCAGCAGGTGCCTGGCCCATATGCAGAGATCGCCTGCATGCAGACAGAGCTGCTCGCCACACAGAACCATTCAGACCATCAAGGCCTGACCTTCACATTCCTTAATGCAATCCGTCTGCAGGGAGCAATGAGCACGGCGAGGGACACTTCCCCGGCAAACCTGCAGTGACTTGTTCTTCCGGAAGCTCTTCTTCACCCACAGGACTACAAGGACACGCAGCTGCAGAGAACGGAGCCCGGGGCGCCGGGGACTACTTTGCTGGGTGCCTCCGAGCTGCACGACCACCCGTAGGGTGACATTTCCCTGTTAAAAACAGCCGTGAGGCCAGTGTAAAGGCTTAAAACTTTTGTGATGCAGTGCAGCGGGCCACTTTCTGAAATGGTCCCAGAGGGGTGCTCGGCTTTCCCACCATCACACAAAGTACGAAGGCTGCACTGGAATAGACAAATACAGCGTTCTTTAAAAAGGCACACCAATGCTGCACAAAGGTAGGTTCTGCAGCCCGGCATCCATCCAGTCCTTACTCCAAACAGCGCACTTAATTCCTGGAGGAATGGGGGGGCTGCATTCCTCAGGCCAGGACAGCTGGAGCAGGGGGTGGGCCCCGCCTGGCCTCTGCCCTGCGGCATCCGGAGGATGGGACCCTTCCGGGCTCTGGCGCCCGAGCCCTGCTGGCAGAGTGGCCGCCCAAGGCAAGACCGGGCTAGATTCGCTGGGCCCCCACGCCGCCTCCTTCGCTGTCAGGCTTGCTGCCCATCTCTGTTCCCCCGCTGCGGCAGGCTGGGGCCTGCGGAAGGGAGGGCTGGTGCCGCAGCTTCTTCAGTTGAGAAAGGTGAGCCTTGGATTTCACGTGAGCTGCAAACACAGGGAGGAATTGGAACGGGGTATGAGAACAGGACAGAGCACAAGGCCGCTTTTCCAGCACTGGAACGCCGTTTACAGCGTGCGCACTGGCGCCACACATCCGAGGGGGTCTTCTGGCTTTCAGCAAAAACTACAGCAAGATCTGTTGCTTGGATGCCTTTCCTTCAGCTCCCTTGCACAAGACACTGATCGGCATGTCTGTTTCCTCCCCTTAACTTATTATGGTATAGGATAATATAAGTGGGCACCATTCAAGGAAAGTCACAGTTGAGGTCTGATCTACATGGACCACGGAGCAAGGCGGGGTGCAGAGCCCTACAATCGCAGGGCGGACTGGCAGACAGCAGGCAGCAGGGCTCACCCTTGGAATACACCCCTGCATAAAATGCACAGAGGAACTTGCATGTGGAAAACCCCTCTCCCCAATGCACTTGTTTTCTACCCTCTTTTTACATAAGGCAGTACTGAAAAATGGCTTCGTGTCATTGCAGAACATGAGGATACATTCTGGAGATGCTCCTGAAGCCTGCACAGGGACTATCCTTTTCCAAACAGCTTCCCAAAGGCACGTACCAAACATTAAGGGTGATGTTCGTCATGTACTCATTTATTTCTGGCACCTTTAGCTCCTTGCAAGAGGAAGCATTCTCTCTCGCACAAGTATGTTTCTGCAGCCTGGACAGGGATGTTCCGGGACCCTTCAGCTCATTCAGCATCAAGCGTTTATCAGTTTTAGGCTGCTCTGTGCAGGCAAGGGCAGGATCCCATGGTGCTGGTACAACAGGGAGAGGTGCAATTTCTGAGGCTCCTACATGGACCCCCACCTCTGTGCTCCCCCGGGCGGGGTGCTCACCTTGCCACTCTCTGTCCCCGATGATGAGGCGGCCACACGGCTCACACATGCAGCCGCGCCGCTTGTCCTCCTCTGGGTTGCGCTCCAGCACGAAGGGCTGCACGGGTGGCTGCCGCCCCTGGAGGCAAGACCGCCCGGTTACTGTGGTCAGTGAGCAGGGAGGCTCTCTGCCTTTCTGCCCGGACACCTTGCGGGGCAACCAGGAGCTGATCTCAGGGGCACCGAACCTGCCCTGCCCTGCCCTGCCCACCAGGCTGCCCTCACACAGCCAGTCGCCCACTGCTGGCAGCTGACGGCCCCCCTCCCGCTAGCCCAGGCCAGGTGGGCTCTGCATGGGGAGGAAAGGGACCCCGGGGGAGCTCAAGGTGCCTCGGCATCCCCTGACCTCACGCATTCCTGCAGGCAGCTGGGCTGACGCCGCCCCCCCTCCCCCGGAGGCGTTGACTTTGCGCCACCTCAACAAAACCCAGCCACGTCCCAGCCGCCTTCTTTGCTTCGTGGCTCTCGATTCCCTTCCCGCCCTGCACCTGAGCCTGTGTCCCCCTGGAGACAGGGGCCTGGGCTGGGAGCCCCAGGGAGCCGCTGCCGGCCAGCACAGGCATCGCCGGTCCAGATGGACCTGTGGTGTCGCTCCCACAATCAGCTCCCCACACCGTGGCTGCACGAAGGCCCGGCATGGCGTGCTGGGGGGAAAGAGCCCCCGCTCAAGGCCCGTGGCCAACTGCCTACCTGGAAGAAGCTCTCTACGATCTGGATGGCCGGTTCCAGCACTTTCTCTTCCCACTGAGAGAGATCCGAGCCTTCCAAGCTGTACACGGGTGGCACATTTTGTCCAGGACCTGAAGAAACCCGGGCAGGGCAGGGCAGGGCAGGGCAGGGCAGTCATGAGGGTCAGCCAGCATGCAGTTATCCCTTCCCACTCCCACCACCCTCAAAGCAACTGGAGAGCCCAGCCCACAGCCTGCACCAGGCCAGAGGCCCTGTGAGGCCCAGGGGAAGGCAGTCACCAGCCACACCCTCCATCACAGCAGAGCCACTTCCAGCGACTCATTTGCAGGCTGCCGGCCGGAGGAAAGGCCCCGGGTGCCAGATCCAGGCAGGTGATGTCCCCTGTGCCTGGCCACAAACCCCCGGCCACGCCTTGTGGCAGCTTGCAGGAGACCGAGCGCGGGCTGCAAGTGCTTGGCCCGGGAACAGCCTTCCGCCTGCGGCTGCCAGCGACTGGGCCAGGCCAGGCCACCGAGGCAAGGCAGGCAAACCCCGCTGGCACCGTGCCAGAGCCGCCCAGCCACACAGGCTGCCAGGGAAGGGCCAGTCGGGGTGGGAGGGGTGGCCCCCGCAAGGCCCTCTCCCACCTGGGCTCAGAAAGGGCAGGGCAGGGCAGGGACGCATGCCGAGGGCCGAGAATGGCCTCTCCAGCCCCGCCCCAGCAGAAGCAAGCTGACTGGCCGCCCCCCCCCCCCGGCCACCTGCTGGGGGCGCCTGCATGCGGGCGGCAGCCGTGCAGCTCTGGGGGAAGGGGCCCGCCCTGCGCTGGCCGAGCAGAAGCCAGGCGCTCTTCTTCGGAGGGCTGAGCCTTGGCCTGGGCCCGCCGGGGTCCCGAGGGGATGCACACGCAGCGCAGAAGCACGGAGCGGGGCCGCAGCACTCCCCAGCACAGCATCGCATCACCGGGAGAGAGGGACTCACGCCGGAGGAAGCGGTTCTGGATCCACTTGACCTGCTTCCGGGCATACCTCTTGGTCACCAGCTTCAAGGCCTGGATGCCTGGAAGAGCGAGGGGAACGGTGGGGGGGGAGCAGGAAGGGCGGCACCGCAAGTCATAGCACCCCTTTGCAGGGAAGCTGCTGTGCGGGTGCTCCCGGGCACAGCAAGGCAGGGCTGATCTGCACCCTCAGATGGGTCCAACCAGTCCGGCTGCTGTCAGTTCCCTCCCTGCACCCTGAATCCGACGGCTTGGCGAAGGCGCCAGACTTCCTTTGCCAGAGGCCTGGCCGTTCCCCTTGCAGCAGCCTGGCGCTTGGCAGGAGGAGGCTCGTTCCACCCCAGGGCACAGTCCGGGCGCCGTGCCTCCAAGCGGATGCCGCCAGAGGGTGTGGCGCCTCGTCTGGTGGTGCGAGGGCTGCTGCTGTCCTACCTACCTTCCTCCAGGAGCTCGTTGCTGGCCTCCTTCGAGCACTGGCCCTCCGTGGTCAGGAATTGGTGGAATTCCTTGAAGCCGATGGACTGGAAGATGCCGTGCTGGTAATCCTGGCTAAGTGAAGGGCAAGGGGCAGGGGGTCAGCCCCTCCTGCGTGTGTGCGTGCGACCTGTGCAGTGGCACGCAAGGTTCCCAGCTTCCCAGGGAGGACCAGCCGGAAGCCAGAGAAGGAACCGTGGCAGGGAGCGCCTCTCACCCTCCCCGGTCCCAAAGGACACCAAGACCAACTCTTGCCCTGAGCTGCAGACCCCCTCCGTCCCTGTTCCCTTCACACAGTGTCCTGCAGCCTGCTGTTCACCTTGCTAAGCCACTCCAGGAGCCCTTTCGGACTGAGGACTGCTCTAAGACAGGCGTCCAGAAATAACCACGGAGAGGCAGGGATCCGGGTAGGCTAGTGCACTGCTAGGGCTGCACTTTAGATCCAGGCCCGGCACCTCAGGAGGAGGAAACCGCAGCATGTGCAGCGCCAGCCCCAGTGCCCCTCCGTCCCCACCCCTGGGACAGAACCCCGGGAGCGCCGCACGGGCGGGGGGGGACGGGGACTCACCTGTTCTCTGCCACCCTTGCTTGGTTGTACCGCTGATGGAAACCACGCAGCTCCTCCAGCAGCCCGGCCTGCAGCATGGCGTCCACACGCTCCTCCAGCCGCTTTTCCAGGACTGCCAAGGCAGGCACAGGGGTTAGGGGCACCCCGGGGAGGCCGTGGGGGGACAGGGAGACTGCCTCTCCGGGCCACTTACCTGCCTTCTCCACGCGCACCCAGAGGATGCATGGGCTGCGGTACCTCAAGCCGCCCCCCAGCGGCCCCCCTCCTTCCTGCTGCCGCTGGTGCTGCAGGAGCATGCTGTGCGGGATGCCCGTCTCTTCAAACACTTCCAGGCTCCTGCAGGCCAGACAGGTGGGGAAGCGTCAGCAGGAGCCCGTCCAGCTTCTGTGGGCAGCAGGTCTGGGGCAGGCGGAGTATGTGGGAACGCACGCCTCAGTGGTGTCTTGCGAGGCTGCCAACCGGCTGGCCCGCCGCTTAGAAGTGCGGCACAAGCCATGGCACAAGCCAAGCCACAACTCGACCTGACCCACACCTCAACTGCTGTGCCATGCAGTGGGGGGTGCTAGTCGGCCGAGGCCCTCTGAGCTTGCGACACGCCCTTTCCGCAAGCCCCGCCTCTGGGTGAAGCCCCACAATTCCCGGAAGGGCAATGACCCCGAACTCCCCCGTAGTGTGGACTCGGACGCACATCCAGCGCGATGACAAGGGCCTGGCGCCACTGCGCAGTGCAGGCGTCCGGCCAGCCGGTCTCCTGCAGCGGTCATCTATCCACTTTCCAGACTGCCTGGCAGACAAAGCTCTCCAGGTGGTTCACAGCAGTCGAAACCATAGAATAAAACACCACCCATTTTAAAACAGAAGGAAAGCCTAGTGGTGACGCAAAGGTTCAAATAAAGTAACAGATCCCTGGCCTGCCTGAGAAGCCCACACCACAACCAGGGTACCAGGGCAGAAAAGGCCCTGCTGCTCATTGATCTCCAGAGCAGCATCACGAGGGCTGTGCTGACAGTCTTCGGGGAGGGGTGCCTCACAAGCCAGGCCGCCCCCGCCGCCCTGTGCCAAAGGGGCGTTTTCCCGCTCACGGCAAAGCACTGAGGCTCCTCCTTCAAGCTGCAGAGCCAAGTACAGAACCGGGAGTGAATAAGTTGGGGGGGGGGGGGGCCGCAGGGCGCTGCATGCACCAGGCTCGCAAGCCAGGCAGAGGTGCCGCTCCTGCCCTCGCCCTTTCTCCATGCAGTCCGCTCCCGTGGTCCAGCGGCCGCTGAAATGCCCCAGGGCACCAGGTTAGGGCCCTGCCTTGGCCCCACTGACAGATGCCTCCCGCTCGTGTGAAAGGGGTGGGCGTCTCTCCGCCTGGCTCTGGGACAGGGCAAGGAGGGGAGGGCGGCTGGGTGGCAAGCCGGGGCTCGCTGCAGCCGTGTTCCCACTGAGCAGAGGCATGTGGCTCAGCTGGTCGGGGAACTTTCTCCTGCAGCTGCTGGGGGAGAAGCCCTGGCAGGAGTCCAAGCCCAGCCCAGCCCCAGCCGCAGAGCAGGGCTGCCAGCTGCCGCTCTGCCCTGCATGGAAAGGGCGGCTCGCCATGGGCCAGGAGTGGCCGGGTGCCTCGCAAGCCCTGCGGGGAACGCCTCAGTGGCGTCATGGGGGCAAGACTCCGGGCCCAAGTCACGGCGGGCCGGGCTGACTCGCTCTAGGCCCAGCATGGCAGGAAACAGGAGGATCCGTGCAGGCCCTGCGGGGCTGCTTGCCTGCTGCAGGCCACGCTCCACAGCGCTGCTGCTCTCCACCTGGACCGGCCCAGCACCTTTCGCAGGGACGGCGAGAGCAGGCGTGCCATTTTCATGGCTCCTGCTTCCTTATGCCGGCGCATTCCATGCGGCGATGGCCAAAGGCTGCAGGGACTTTGAAGTCCTGGAGCCCTTTCTGGAGAAAATGCCGTCAGCAGCTTTCAGCCACGACCACGCACTTGAACCTCCCTGTCCAGGAGCAGGGTACCCCTCGGTACCAGGCACCAGGCTCGAGCAGCAGGCAGGGTTCTTTCCTTCACATCTGGCTTGTGAGTTTCCTGGGGCCATTTTGGAAACGGGGTCCCTCCCAGGACAATGCTGGGACCCAATCCGGCAGGCTCGGTTTCTGCCCTGTCCTCCCTGGGCTTTGGGGGAGGGGAACAACTAGGCGTCTGCACTAGTTCAGCATCCCCGGCTAGGAGAGACAGACCTGGCCACCTTGCGCTTATCATGGGGGTGCAGTTTGGCTGCCATTTCGGGGTCCACCTGGCTCAGAAGGTGGTGAAGCTCTTGGCCGTCCAGGTTCTGCAGCTGAGCCCTCCGCTCTGCAGATCTCTCCTCAGAGCCTGAGCGCTGGGCTTTGGCCTGCAAGACACGTGCCCTGTTGGGAAGTCCGTTTCCTTCACGCCGAGCCTTCTCTGCCCCGCAGCTGGACGACTTGCAGCCTGCCGAGGAGACACCTCTTTTTCGAGCAAGCAGGCATGTCAAAACGGTGCTGCCCAGCCGCATGGGAGCAGCTCCCCTCGCCCGCGTCTCACCACAGCGCTCCCGCTACTCCGGATGCCGAGAGGGTGCCCCGGTTACAATTACGTCAAGGCACACGCTGCTCCCCCCCTCAGAAAAACTGGGGCACTCGGTGCAAAAATCGCCTGATGAACGGGAGCCGGGGAATCAGTGCAATGACACGAGGGGGGACCCGGAAAACCTAGGAAGTCTCTTCTGGAGTCCAGGCTCCCCCTGCTCGGCGAGCGTTCCAGCAATCACCCAGCGGGGCTGTTGGAAGAGGCTGCATTTGGCTTCAGCGAGGTCATTTTTGGAAACTCTTCCAACACATTTGCCTGTTTTGTGATGGCTGAGTTACACAAACCACGTACGGCAGTGAAATTTTGTTCAGCTGAGTGCTCAGCAGCTTTTGCCCAAAAACGGCATGGCCCCAGTGCCCCACCCTCCCCATTCGCCCGATCTTGTCCCCTGCAACTTATTTTGTTTCTCCAGATGAAAAAGTCCTCAAAGGGAAACATGTTGCCAATGCGGGAGAGGTGAAACAAAAGATAGCACAAGCACTAAAAGGCATCAAAATTGACCAATTCAAAACCTGTTTTGAGCAGTGGAAAAAACATCTCAATTAGGTATATTGCATCCAGCAGAGAGTACTCTGAAGGTGACTGAAGTCTGAACATGTAAAAATAAATGCACAGTTTTTAATAAATAAATTCCAGGGTTTTCTTGGTCCCCCTTGTACAAACAAAAGTAATGATCCTGAGGGCACAGTCTAAACACAGAGAACATGGGAAGTGTTATCCTCAAATACACGCTCTTCCTCTGCTTGCAGCCTAGGAAGAATTCTGCAAAAGCAGCGTGCAGAGTGAGGCCCCTCAAATGTCCCCCAGCTGGGGAAACAGGTACTTCCTTGCGTGGCCAACGGAAGAGCCACCAAACAGGCCACCTGGGAAGCAGCTGCTGCACCCACAGGAGGGACTTGGAGCCCGCAATTCACGTGGCTCGGCCAGGCACGCCCGGAGTTCACCGCGGCCCCCAGTGAGGCCTCCCCGCCAGAGGGGTCACACAGCCAGGAACCCCTCCCCTCCCCGTAGCACCCCAAGGCACCCCCATCCCACCCCTGCCTGCCTCTTGTCGAAAGGGGCACCTGTGGCAGCTGGGCCTGATGCTGGCCCAAACCCGGAGCTCCCGGGACGAGCCCCCCCCACTCACCGACGTGTCAATCAGAACATTCCAGAGCAGGGACTCGATGTAGTAGTTGGTTCCCCCAACCACAATTGGCATCTTCTGGCAGGCGAAGAGGTCGTCGATGTTAGCCATTGAGGAAGCTCATGATAAAGGCGAGGGGGAGGGAGGAAAGGGGCCCTGCTACCCTCAGCAGGGGCCAGCCACTTGCTCTGCCCCTGGCCAGCCAAGCAGCAGGCTCTGCGCGGGAGGCACTCGGTCACGTGGGCATTTCAGTGGCATCCCCACCAGGCCTCGTGCTGCAGAGGCATGTCCCTGAATGAGCCGCCTGAGGCCCCCCGGGGGCTGCACCTTCCCCCATCAGCCCTCCTGCCCTTCTTGCTTTGTCGCCCTGGCAGCCCAGGGCCCACCTCAGCTCATGCCAGAGCAGCAGCCCTCGCAGGGACCCCACTCACAGCTCCACGGCATTCATGGCAGGACGCCGGACAAGGGCATGAATGGCTTTAAGGGGCTTCGTGGCCCCGACTGCTCTTCTCCGCTTGGTGCACTGCTCTTCCATGGGTTGCCAGCCACCCTGTGCTTCCAGAAAGGAAGGGGGGGATACAGATGCAAGTAAATAGCTTGCATGGTATTGCTGCCCACTGTCATTTTCATTGTTGTCCTTCATTTGTAAGCCACTGGTTAAACTTTACAGAAAACCGGGTTCAAAAACCCCCTGTAAACAGCTGAACAAATCCCTTGACAAATCTGAACTTTAAAAAAAGTTATTGTTTTTAAAGACTTCTTTTTATTTCCCCTCCTTCCTTTGAATGGTTATTATTTCTCCATCTTTAAACACTGATCTATCATGAGGGCTGGAAGCCCGCTTGTCAGACAAGAAGCTTGGATTCACAATAGTGTGCCAAACTACTTGCTGCCTATCTCAGCTAGGAACAAGTTCTCTGCCGCTCTCGCAGCCCTTAGCAGCCCCCCCTCCGCCTCCTCCTGCTGCTCCGTAGGGCACATGAGGCTAAAGACCCGCCGGCCTCAGTTCCCCGCCACGCCGCTGAGACAAGGCATCAACGGGAGAGAGGAGTGGCACGCGCTCCGGAAAAGGATATCAGGGGGACGGCCTTGTTCCTGAAGTCCACCACAGTGTAGCTGGTGACCAGGGGGTCCACAAAACTGATCATGTGATGCTTGCACAGCCTCTGCTCCTCTGGGGAAACTTTGTTGGTGATGATGTCCAGGCCCTTGTACACCTGAGAGGCAGACCGGGGGGGGGGGGGTAGTGGACAGCCGGGCCCAGGCAGCCCCCCCGGGGACCGTCCCGCGGGGTCTGGACTGCTCCTGCAACACCCGGGTGGGCCCCCGCACGGAAAGTGAGGTGTGGGGGAAGGGATGTCCGGCCGTTTGGGCTGCATTTCCACCTGAGAGAGCAAGGGTGGGCGGGGGCGGCAGACGCTGTGGGGAGGGCAGCACTGGGAGGGAAGCTGCGGGGTAGAGACCAATGGTGGGGCCCCGCACCTGTCTGCAGGGGGGTGATGAGGAAGACGAGCTGGGGGAGGGGAGGGGGGGCACGTGCCCCGCGTCAGCAACCTCGTCTTGGCCAGCGGCAGGGCCGCCCTTGCCCCGCACCGCGCCCGGGTGGGCTTGGAGGCGCCCCATGTCCCCACGCAGGGCTCGCCCGTGCATCCTGCTCTGCTAGCCCCCGCGTCCCCTCCGCTGGGCCATCAGCATGCGCACACGTACGCACTCGCGCGCTCGCTCTTTTGAGAGGGCGCCAGGCAGCCCCCTCATGGGGGCTTGGGGAGCCCCACGGCACTCCCTCTCGAAAAGGCGTGTGGCCGTCTGCCTGCCTGGTGCGGGTGGGGGGAAACGACACGGCTCTCCCCCGAGCAGGCCAGCATTCCAGAGCCCGGCCAGGACTACTCTGCGTCTGAGACTCACCCCAGCAGCAGTCCGCTCTGCCAAGAAACAGGTCATGTCAAGGCTTTGCTTCGGAATATTTGAAAAGTAAGAGCATGGACAGAGAACAAACACAAGCTGAAAGTGAGGCAGCAGCCCAAGACTGACAGGCAAATGCCCAAAGAACACTTAGGCCCCGTCGGCAGCCCGTGGCTCTGGAGCCGCACGTGGCTCTTGAACCCCCCTGCTGCGGCTCCGTCGCTCAAAACGCGCGTCGGCACAGCCGCTGATCTGCTCGAAGCTCCACTCAGGAACATGGCCTAGTTAAGTAAGTCAGCTAGTTAAGTAAATCACTACATTCCTCTGCTAAACAAGCTTCCTGCAGGCTCTCATGCTGCTGAAAAGATTCTCTTTGTCCCAATGTAATCTCCATCTGAATGTTAAAAGCTGCACTTGGGACCTGTCACAATTCACAGACTGTTTATCTGCTAATCAGTCACTAAACACACCTGTATCTCCAGCACCCCCCCCCCAGGCCAACAATGGATAAATCGAAGAAAAGTTTCTGAAGAAAATCAAACGTTTAATACGTTTAATACGTGGGTAGGTTCATTTGCTTTTACTGCTGACGGACTTATGTGGTTTGCTGCTTAATGCATGCAGCCCTTTAGCACTGACTTTGACTCTGCAGGAAGCTGTTCTCCTATTCAAAATATATGAAAGGAGTCCTACTAGTTTATAATGTAAGATTAAAAATAACAGTTTTTAGTGACTGAACAAGAGCTGCAGTTAAATCATAATGAAGATATACATAGCATTAAGGTAAAAAATGAAATATGCAGTGTTATCTTCATTTCAGATGTCAAAAGGGTTTTGTGGCTCCTGGTGTTTTCTTTTGTGTGGGAAACGGGTCCAAATGGCTCCTTGAGTGTTAAAGGTTGCCGACCCCTGACCTAGATGGACTAAACGCACCATCTTTACAACCTTTTTGGTGCCAGGCAAAAACGGTCTTCTTCTCTAGACATTTTAATATTTGATTTTATTCTTGGATATTATTTATACTGTTTTTGCCTTTAATATATTTTAACTTATTGATATCTGATCTTGGCTGCATATTTTCTCTTATTTAGGTTGTATTGTTGTTATTTTATGTAATACTGTAATCCACTTGGACTAGTATTTATTTATTTAAAACATTTATATCCCATCCTTTCAATGAACAGCTCAGGATGGCTAGTATAGTGGAATTTAAGTTGAATAAATAATTAAATTAGTAAGTAAAATCCCCAAGGCCCAATGAACTCCATCCAGAGTCATAAAAGAGCTAGCAGAGGAACTCTCAGAACCACTGGCTATTATCTTTGATATATGTTGGAAAACAGAAGAAGTGCCAGACAACTGGAGAAGGGCTTTCGTCATGCCTATCTTCAGAAAGAGGGGGAAAAGATGAACCTGGGAACTACTGACCAGTTAGTCTGACATCAATCCCTGGAAAAATTCTGGAACAAATTATTAAAAATCACTGAAAAAAATGCAGTGATTAATAGACACCAACATGGATTTATCAAAAATAAATCCTGCCAGACTAATTTGATCTCATGTTTTGACAGAGTAACATTCCAAATGGACAGAGGGAACACTGTGGACAAAATCTACCTCAACGTTAGCAAAGCTTTCAACATAATGTCCCACAGCAAAACGTGAACCAGATAAAAAACTATTACAGTGGTACCTCAGCTCGTGAACGCCTCAGTTCACAACCAAATCGGGTTGCGACCAAAAATTTCATAAAAATTTTGACTCAGGTGGCGAATTCTGCATTGTGTGGTGCTGGGGGCGGGGGGGAGACGGCCAGATCACGCCTGTCTTTCCTGCATGAGCGCAACCCTGATCTCTGCCATCTCCCCCGCAGCACGATCACACCCATCTCCCCTCCCCGAGCACGCCAGCGTTCGTGCCCGTCTCTCCCCCCAACGTGCCCGCGATTGCGTCCATCTCCCCCCTCCAGCGCACCAGGTTGATGGGCACATGCAGGGATGACGGGTGCGATCCCGGCCGTGCTGGGGGGGCGCAGCACGATTGTTCTTTGTTACTTTGCTTCACATTTTTCTGATTTAAAAAAAATAGGTACAGAACGGATTAACCTCATTTACAATGAACCTTATGGGGAAATTGAACTTGGCTCACAATTTGGACAAAAATGGCACCTTCTCAAACAAGAGGAACCAACTGCGGGCAAGCCAGAGGGCTCAGTCCTGGGCCCAGCGCTCTTCAGCATCTTTATTAATGATTTAGATGAGGAAGGAAGGATAATCAGTTTTGTGGACAATAGCAAACTGGGTGGAATAGTGAGCACCCTAGAAGGCAGAATGAAGATCCAGGGTGACCTTGGCAACAGAATGAGGTTCAATAAGGACAAGTGCCAAGTCCTCCACCTAAGAAAGAGGAACCAAAGGCATCGATACCAGATGGGGAATACGTGGCTCAACAGAGCTATAAAAGAAAATGACCTTAGAGTTATTGTGGACAACAGGCTAAATATGAGGCAATTATGCAACGCAGCTACAAAAAGGGCAAATGCTATTTTGGGATGCATTAACAGAAGTATTACTTCCATATCACAAGATTAGTACTTCCTCTATACTCCTTGCTAGTCAGAACTCTGGAATTCTGGGCACCAAGATTTAAGAGAGATGCAGAAAAATTACACAGGGTCCAGAGGAAGGCAACAAGAATGAGCCAGGGTTTGGAAACTGTCCTATGAGGAGAAACTGAAAGAACTGGGCATGTTCAGCCTTCAGGCAAGATGACTGATGGGGGGCATGGTATCCCTCTGTAAGTACCTCAAAGGCTGTCCCAAAGAGGAAGGACAAGATCTCTTCTCGCTGATCTCAGAGTGTAGGACACGGAATAATCAATTCAAGTTGCAGCAACCCAGGTTCAGGCTAGATATCAGGAAAAGCTTCCTCACTGTCAGGTCAATACGACAGTGGAACCAGGTGCCTGGAGAGGTCGTTGGCTCTCCCACACTGAAGACCTTCAAGTTGAAACTGGATGGTCATCCATGTGGGATGGTATAAAATTGTCTCCTGCATCAGCAGGGGGTTGGACCTGATGGCCTTCTTTGCCCCTTCCAACCTCACTAGTCTATGATGCTATGAAGAATCCACAGGATAGTTACCCTCTGCTCCCAAAGTTATTCAGCACTGAATTGTGGTAGATCCCCAGGTGAAAATGAGCCAACAATTGATGTGGCTGCAAAAAATAGCGCACGCTATACTGGGCAAAATCAACAGAAGTATAGTGCCCATATTACGTAAGGTCCTGGTTTCCCTCTGCTTGGCACTGGTCAGGCCTCATCTGGAGTGCTATATCCAGTTCTGGGCTTCCAGTTTAAGGAAGAGCCAGACAAGCTGGGAAGGGTCCAGAGAAGGGCAGCGAGGACGATCCGGGGACTGGAAACAAAGCCCTGTGGTGAGAGAGGGAAAGAACTGGGCACGTTTCGCCTCATGGAGAGAAGGCCGAGGGGAGACAGGACAGCACTCTGCAAGAACCTGAAAGGCTGTCAGAAAGAGGAAGGCCAGGCTCTCCTCTGGATCATCCCCGAGTGCAGGGCATGGAATGATGGGCTCAAGCCGCAGGAAGCCAGGTTCCAGCTAGCAAGCAGGAACCATGTCCTGCCTGGGCAATGTGACACAGGAACCTGTGACCTCGGAAGGTAGTGGGCTCTCCCACGCTGGAGGCATTCAAGAGGCAGCTGGGCAGCCCTCTGAGAGGGGTGGTTGCGCTTGGAGCCCGGCACTGAGCAGCAAGCTGGACTTGATGGCCTCCCTGGCCCCCGCCCCAGCTCGACTACCCTGCTATTCTGTGCAACCGGGCGGCGCTTATCCTAGGCCAGAGGGCTTGGGCATCACCTCTTGCAGGATGCGCTCCAAGGGGTACCGACACAGGGAAAGACGGCTCACCTCCAGGCGGCTGCTGCGGAAGAATAAGAACGGGAGCGCCAGCTTTGCCTTCTCCCAGCAGGCAAGAGGCCCTTAGCAGAAAACACGAGAAAAAAGCACGCTTGTACCTAAGCTGCAACCGACGCACATGGCCAGGGCAGGAAGTGAAAGCGCTTTGCAACAGAAGGCTGAGTTGCTGAGCCACCACTGCAGGAGACCAGAAGCACGACTGGTTTATGCCGGAGCTTTTTCCAAGCGGCGCCCGCTCGCAAGACGAATACAAGCGCCCCAGACCCGCGGTATCGGCCTGCCCCTCGCTGATCTGCCAACGCACCGTTTCCACGAGAAGGAGCCCAGCGGCCATGCCTCTGACCGTGGGCAGAGTGCCCGTTTGCCCGACGCCCGCCTGTCCGTTCTCCCCCGTGCGGAGCCTCGCGGCTCCCCCGCCCCCACTCCGCGCGGCCGGCGAGGCGCTCCTCGCGCGCTCAGGAGCCCCGGGCCGCCAGCGGCCCGACACGCGCACCTGCATGGCGTCGGCGCCGACGATCTCGCCGCCGAAGCGGAGGCCGAGCTGCAGCGCCAGCCGCGACTTGCCGGAGCCCGTCGCGCCCACGATCACCACCAGCGGCAGCCGCCCCGCCGCCGCCGCCATGGCTGGACGGGCGCGGGCGTCGCGGCAGGAAGAGGCCGGCGCGCCCGGGAGGCGGAGCCGCGCAGGGCGGAAGGACCGGCCTGCCGGCCCCGCCCGCCGCGCAAATCGGCCTCCCGCCTCGCCGTTCCGAGAAAGCGCTCTGCACGTGCTCAACGTCCGTCCGTCCGTCCGGCACGGCGCCGCGCTGCCCGCCGCTGGTGCGGGAAATGTTGCCGGGCTTGCTTATCGCGGCAGGCCTGGAGCTCGGCCCCGGGTGCAGGCAGGGGCGCCACGTGCTGAGGGCAGGCACGTCCCCCAGGCGCCTTCCTGCTGGAAACGCCGCGAGTGGGAGGGGGCCGCGGAGCAAACGCGGAGGGGCGCCTCCTTTGCCAGGTGCGAGAATTGCCCTGCGGGGCGCTGCTGTGCCAGGCCGGGCCGGGAAGTCGAGGCACCTGTAGCCACAGGTCCCGGGTGCAGCGCCTTTGCAAGGCCGGGCCCGGGATCGCAGTGGGCCGCGGTTCTTGCGCAGAGCGAGCGGCGAGGGGCTTTTCCAAGGGAAGCCTTCCCAGGGCATCAAGATTCAAAACCACAAAGTCAAGTAAAACAGTGAAACTTAGAAAATAAGGACAAGGGCGCGAGGAGCGAGAGGAGACGAGACCTGGCATGTTTACGCAGCCTGCAGCGTT